AGCGTGCGCGCACCGACTGGATTCGGTAGAGGGCATTCCTAGCTAACGAACGAGCGGCTGGTGAGTTGTCTCCGAGCACCTGGAGAGTTAGAACACCCTTTTTCGCGCGACGTGCTTCTGTGAGTGGTGCAAGCCGAAAATTTGTGTGAAACTCGGTAAATCTGCGACAGAGATGTTTGATATGATCAAGCAGGCTTACCGAGATGTTGCTGTAGCAAGAAGTGGTGTGTTTCGGTGGCACCAGGCCTTTTCAGAGGGCCGGGAAGAGGTCGCTGATGAAGACCGTGCTGGAAGACCTTCGACTTCGACAAACACCGACAATGTGACTCGTGTGCGCGAAGTTTTGAACTCAGACCGTCAACTAAGTATTCGTTTAATTGTCCAGACATTAAATTTACCAAAATCTGTGGTTCATGACATTGTGACGGGGCATTTGAACATGCGTAAGGTGTGCGCGAAGATGGTCCCAAAAGTGCTCACTGACGACCAGAAATTGCGGCGAGTGGAAGTGTGCCAAGAAAATTTAAACATGTGTGAAAGTGACCCCCAATTTTCGAGTAACGTAATCACAGGTGACGAGTCATGGATCTTTGAGTATGATCCCGAGACAAAGAGGCAATCTTCCGAGTGGCACACGCCGTCGTCTCCTCGCCCAAAAGGGAAGAATGAGCAAATCCAAAGTGAAAACGATGCTCATTGCCTTTTTTGACATGAAAGGCATCGTCCACCATGAAGTTGTTCCTCCTGGACAAACCGTCAACGCCAAGTTTTACGTGGAAGTGCTCAAGAGACTCAAACGAAGGGTCAATCGGGTCCGACTGGAAGTTGCACCACGACAACGCCCCGGCTCACACCGCCTTTCTTGTGGACAGCTACCTGACCAAGGCCTGCATCCCAGTGCTTCCGCAGCCGCCCTACAGCCCAGATGTGGCCCCCTCGGACTTTTTTGTTTGCTCGCCTGAAAAGGCCGCTGAAAGGCAAGCATTTTGAGACGACAGAGGAAATCCAAGCAACATGCACCGCGGCTTCTAAGGCTATTCCGGAGAATGCCTTCCGTGACGCCTTCGATGCTTGGAAATCGCGCTGGCAGCGCTGCATCGACGCAGAAGGAACCTATTTTGAAAGTTTTTAAAGAATTGTAACGATTGGCTCAATAAATTTTTTTAAATCGACTCAGTCCTATTACTTTCCGGACAAACCCTGTGTGATGTCTCCACCAGTTGCGCATTCATAAATTTGGTCGTTACACGCATCCAAAGCTGTATTTCGAGCTTTGGTCGTAAAGAGACGTCCAGCTCTAGAAATTATCGAAAACTACGGTCACTGGCAAAAAGAGCAAATGACAATTTTTATGCTCGGCATAAAGTTGTCTGTAAGTTAAAAAAATACTATTATGGAGAGCCATTAAACTCACACATTTCGTTAACAGGCGATCTCCAACGTTAGACAATAATTACGAAAGGACAAAAAACTGCAGTCAAAAAAGTTAATTTGTTTGTATTGTTTTTGTGAATTATTCGTCTTATGCTTACTTTTATTGTGTTGTATACCATTACACGATGAGTAATAACATTTTAGATAGCCACTTGGGTATCAGATAATTGCGGTGTATAAGTCAACCAAGGAGAAAAAAAAATAGAAAAAACACCAGCAATAATAATTTAAGAGGCATAACAAAAAACCTACCTAATAAAAATTGGTAATTAAGGGTGTATTAGGATAGGTCATTTGTATTATTCATTGAGTGATACACTAAATTATTTACGATTCCAATGTAGTTCTTGTCTTTACTTTTTGTTTTGAACAAGAATACACCAGTATGACCGAACTGTTACAATTTTTGTCGCTTGTTGGTATACTTCATTTAGTTTCTGTAGCGATGTGACTTTCAATTTGATCGGCGCAAAGTAGAAAAGAACAGCACTAGACCAGAAAAAGAAGGAGACAACTCTCGGCCAAACTCTTAACCGGTGAAGAGCGTATAATCCGTACAGTACTGCACGGAAAAATTGACCATTTTATTTACTACAATTCCATTGCTCAAATGTGCTGTTATTGGTACCATTTACTACTGAAAATATCAACGAGATGTTTATTTATATTTGAAGACATTAAAGGCTTTAACGCTTGTTTTCGACTCGCACTACTATTAATGATTGAACAAAACTTTTGGCAGGTACTGTATGAAAAAGTATGTTTAATGAACAAGAGTCGAGAGTATAATGAGCTTTTTTCTCCCTAGCTACGATTTTGCCAGCGCGCATCCAAGACATTGGAAGGGGCACATCGTTAGAAAAAATAAATGAAGTATATATTAGGTATATTAGGTTCGATTAACGATAACTCATTAGTATGATTCTGTCCGGCTATTTGACATCCGACAGGACTGTCCCAGCCTTAGTATTGGTCTTGGTCTCGCTCAAGTACTTCTAGTCTTGGTCTCGGTGTTGGTATTGTTGACATAGTCTCGATCTTGGTCAGTGTCCTGTGTGTTAAGACTTGGTCTTGATCATTTAATCTGATGCTTACATCTTTTTAAATAATTCTTTTAAGCACAAATTTTATTTTATCGTTTCTGCAATGCATAAATTGAAATTAGGCAAACAAAAATTGTATAGGGTTGTTCGGAAAGTCATTTCGTTTTTTTTTTGTGAAAATGAAAGACAGTTTTCGTATAATAAACAAATACTTTATTAAATTATATATTGACCGTTCTGGTCCAACACCTTTTGCCATCTTTCTGGTAGTAGCATAATTCCACGCTCATAACATTTTTGGTCTTTGCTGGCAAAAAACTGATCGAGGAGGTTTTTAACCTCCTCATTTGAGGTGAAGGTTTTACCGTCTAAAAAATTTTGGAGTGACCGGAACAAATAATGATCCGATGGTGCCAGGTCTGGACAATATGGTGGGTGTAGCATTGTATCTCATTCAAGCTGTAAAAGCTTTTGGCGAGAGTGACCAAACTTGTGTGAGGTCTCGCGTTGTCTTGGTGAAACACAACACCTTTAACTCTCGACATAAAACATGTTTTCGTAATAAACTTTCTTAAAAGCGATCAGTTTAATTACCTAATGGTGTGTAGTAATGTAACATATACTCTTACATTCCCCTAGCCTAGAACCGTTATTCTAATGACCTTAATTAGACAAAAGTCATCATCACTCTAATAAGTATAGTGTAGGTACATAAATTTAATAATGTTTTTTTAAAGGTGCCATCGGTGAATTGCATATTGATTGTTCGCTGTGAAGATAATTTGCCTAATTACGTATCTCAATTAATATTGTATATTTCCTCGTAGGATTAAATTTATGTTTGGGAATATATTTGATATGTTTAACTAAATCATCATCATAAGGTCATCAGTCCTAAGACTGGTTGGACACGTACCTCCATTCTTTTCTATCCTGAGCTAATCTTTGCATTTCCCTAAAACTAGAACAGCCCACATCCTTAACTATTTGCGAACAGTAATCTAATCTAGGTCTACCTCTACCCCTCCTAACTCCTGTTTCTGCCTCTAATATGTCTCTGACTAGACCTTCATGCCTGAGAAGGTGTCCTACCAACCTATCTCGCCTATTTTTTATTGACTTCCATAGAGTCCTCTGTTCTCCTATTCTTTCCAATACCTCTTCATTTCTAACCTTTTCTACCCACGATATCCTCATCATCCGCCTATAACACCACATTTCGAACGCTTCTAACCTTTTCTTTTCCGCCGCTCCCACTGTCCATGTTTCGCACCCGTACAACGCCGTGCTCCAAACATACACCTTTAACAACCTTTTTCGAATTTCTAAATTAACCGTTCGCGAGCATAGAAGTGACTTCTTTTTATTAAAGGCGACACGACCCTGCGCTATCCTCTGCTTTATATCCCTACTACTCCTTCCATCCTCACTTATCTGACTTCCTAGGTATCTAAAATCAGCCACTTCTTCTAATTTTTCGTCTCCTATCTTTATATTCGCTCTTTCCCTACTTTTTCTTCCCTTGCATATCAGTATTTTAGTTTTACTTTTATTTATTTTCATACAGTACTGATCTGTCAGTACCGCTTCCATTTTATTTAAAGCTATCTCTAGGTCCTCCTTGCTAGATGCTAATACTGCTATATCATCTGCAAATCTAAGCATACTAATCTTTTGCCCTTGCACATCTATCCCTACAGTTGTACTGTCTTTAATGATGTTGATGGCGTCTTCGATGTATAGATTAAAAAGTAGCGGTGACAGTGTGCATCCCTGCCTGACTCCCTTCCTAATATTTACTTCTCTACGTTGCATCCCCAGCTCTATAACTGCCTGTTGCTCTTTATACAAACTAAGTATCACTCTTCTATCTTTGTAATTCATCCCTACATTTTTAAGTATATTTAACATCTTGTCCCATTTAACATTGTCAAAAGCTTTCTCTAAATCTACAAATCCTATGTACGCACTCTTTCCTTTTTCTATCGTTTTCTCTATTGCTACCCGTAAAGCTAGAATGGCCTCCCGCGTTCCTCTATTTCTTCTAAACCCAAATTGATCTTCCCCTAATAGTTCTTCCGCCCTTTTTTCCATCCTCCTCTGTACAATTCTAGTTAAGATTTTTGACGCATGGGAAGTTAAGCTAATTGTTCGAAATTTCTCGCACCTATCCGCGCCCCTCTTCTTAGGTAATGTTACTACTAGGTACGTTCCGTTTATAATCCTCTGGGACTTTCCCCGTTTCGTAAATGTGACTAACTAACTTAAACATACTCTCTCACCTCTTGTCCTGCATGTTTTAGAATTTCCGCCTGTATCCCATCTACACCTGGCGCCTTATTATTCTTTAAATTTTTTAATGCTACGTCGAACTCTTTTAACTAAATATCTCGAGTATTATTTTCGTATTTTGTACCGCACAGTTAGAACTATTCAGCATCATGTAAGCAATTAGTGTTTTTGAGAATTTATTAACTCTTTTGCTTTTTCATTTTCACTACAACAGTTTTTCTTTCTTTGCAGACTTAGTGACGTAAGAAATTTAGTGAATCAATTGTACGAAGCTCTCAACGTTCAGGAGCATCAGCTGCAAAAAGAGAGGGATTTGTTTGTTCAGATCGAAACTCTTCGACAAGAACTTCAACCCCTAGAAGAGGTTAGTGAAAATAGTTTCATTTTTATTTAATATCAGTAGCGGATCGGGGTAGTTAGATACATTAATGTTCGAAATTAGTAGGTGCAATAGTAAATAGTAAATACAGTGGATTTTATTTATTACGACTTTGGTTATAGCGAACGTTGTGCTATAGCGACGTCATATGTAAGTCCCTTGAATTTAAAGCATACTTTAGTATAAAATTTATGTGGCTATGACGACTTCGGATGTAACGTCTAATTCGGGTGTAGCGACTGTTTTTAATGAATCATTTGGAACAATTCCCTAGTTATCCCGTGCAGACAAAGACACAATGAGCATTCTTATCTTTTGTTTATATTCACACAAATAGTGGTGACCATTACCGTTGTTTCTGAGTAGCAACTGTGTTTAGTAAACTTTTGAATAAGTGTGACTTACAGATGTACATTTACTATTAAAAAAAATCGGTTGTCTGTAAAGTCGGTTTACTGACGATAGTTGAACGTAACAACGTCATAAGAAAATACTGATGGAATGGTTTCATTTTTCAAAAGAAAATTTTAATTTTATTTGTTTGATAGATATTTTGTATGGATATAGAGAAGGAGGTAAATGGAAATGTATTATTGTATAGCAGCTGTCCACGCGGACGCATCGCTCACTCAAGTAGGAGAGAGACAGATGTCGAACGCTGCCGAACGCGGAGGCCGATTGTGCCTCTTTGTCGCTCGTTCCGCGCTCTCGCTTGCACTTCAAGCCTTAAATGGAACGCCTCAGAGCGAGGTAACGACGCATGAGTCATGTTTTTTCGTGCGTGCAGCCGGCTCCATCGAATTATAAGACGTTGTCACGTCAAAAAAGGAGAAAATTGTCTCAAAATTGAAAAACAGTGTGTGTCTGAATCTTCTTTAACTTTACCTGTAACGACTTCTGGATATAACGACGAAATTACAGCGGTCCGTTCGTTGTCGTTATACCCAAAATCCACTGTATTTTTTTTGTGTTTTGAAAATAACTGGTGTCTCACACTCTCGATAGTTTTCGGAGGCTATTTAAGAATGGCTCGTACTAGAGATGGATTTGAAAACAACCCTTGTATGTATGTATGTAGTCACGTACGTACATAGTTTTCCAACTTTACTAACAATCTGCATTTGCAGCGAAGCAAAAGTTTCTTAGTTTCACCTTTCAGCGCAGCATTCTGTGTGTTTTGCATATAAAACACTTCATCCTGTCTTTGTGAATTAAAAGTTGTTGTAAATTATCGGAAAACTATGATAAACTGGAAGAAGTTTGTACCAGTTTTATACCAGCGTCTTAAAGTTTGTGTTAATTGATTCAATTAAATAAACGGCGCGGAAATTTTATTCGACCGAGCGGCGTGACTAAACCACTGCTTAGCATTGGATTGGATCACTTAGGAAAATGCTGTGGCAATAATGATAACTTTCTAGATATAATCCTTCACTTTTCTCTTGTTTTCATTTGTTCCGTCTCATCTGTCTTTTCCCAACCACCATCCACATACTCACACGATTCCTAAGATGAGGCCGAAGACACCGGTTTTACTTATCTTGACCCAACTTTTTTTTTGTTTTTTTTTTGTCCATGTAGACAATATTTATCCCACGGATAGTCGTTATTGTTCTATTACTGTTTTCAATTTGTTTATTTTCCCCCCATTCATAACCACTCACCGATGCTTGCGATTCCCAAAGAAGGTTAAAGAGGGATTTTGTTTTGAACCTACAGTGTAGGCGTTAGAACATCCGTCCACCAGCATTGGCTAACGGGAATGAACACATTGAAGTTCTTTTTATGACACGGGCACAGAATGCGTCAGTCGAGCATGTCTGGTTTCTAAAATATATCTAAATATTTATGCATGTACCTAAACTATGATCAATTTGATTGGCTCTGTCTTCTGCAATTTGTTATCATAAAATTCGAATTAAAGCAATTAAATTTTCGCTTGGATCAAATTGAGAATGAAGTTAGATTTAAAACTTCGTCATATGGAATGGATTGAAGGAATCCTGTTTTAAATTTTCAACCGAGTATAATTTGTTATTTGAGAAACTTGTTGACTAAAATCGAGGAATTTTTCAAATTTATTCCATTAAAAATGTAGTTTTATTTGCCAGAGGCGATTAATGGGAAAACCAGCAGCTGCTTGAGGAGCAAATAAAGGAATATATAACGAGGGTGGTTGTGTTAGTTCGTTAAAGCAATCGGAATAAAAAGTGGAAACAAACAAGGGATTTGTATTCGAGAAACGCCGAAGGGCTTACGTTTTCAACCAAAACAAGTTTCATTTCCCAATACCGAGCTTTGTTTCACTAATTGCTGGAAAATCGTGTTAATTAGAATTAACTAAATCACAGAAAGAAACTGTAGTTAAAATTATCAAGAACGAAATTTGCATTTCAATTTAAAACTTCATTCATTTCTGTCCCTTCCTTTTTTGTTTATTTCATTATAAAACATGCATATATGCTTGTGTTGTCAAGAATTAAACGTTTTCTTTCAAATTCCTAAATGGTATACCATATTTACTTCTGAAGAATTAGTTCCACAAAATTGCCTTTATTTTCAGAAAAGGAGCGAAATGGATGTAGTGGCTTCAAGGAAAAGTAATCTCCTTGCTTGGGCAGGTTTAGGCTTGATGTCTATACAATTTGGAATATTAGCGCGATTGACTTGGTGGGAATATTCATGGGATATTATGGAACCTGTTACATACTTTGTTACTTATGGAACAGCCATGGCAGCCTATGCCTATTTTGTACTCACGAAACAAGTAAGTGACTATAGTTTTTCAGAACCCCCGAAAACTATTTAATATTTAACATTTTACTAAAAATAAGACGGGCGACTGAATCATTCTAGTTAATAGTAGAAAGAGGAGACTGTGGTAAAATTTTAATTAAAAATTAAAATGAAGACACCCCTAATTACCACAAAAAACTTTATTTGAGCGGACACATGTTTCTTCCACTTCATACGTGGGCATTATCAACGCGAGACTGTCTGTCTCGTTAGGGGTGAGTCTTCCTTTTAATTTTTAATTCTAGTTAATATGTAGGTCTGCTTTCTTTACGTATTACGATGTGCCCTAAAGTTCATCTTATATCCTGAATAGTGATGTCCGGATTGTTGAAAAAATATATTCGTGGATACGGATACTGATACAGACTATTAGTGTCTAAGTCCGATGATAAGGATAATACGGACCTTAATTTTCGTACTTCGTTTGTTTCTCGCATTCGCCGCATGCACGTGGCTTTGGATCAATATTCGAGGAACGTCCTGTTTTATCCGCGGATACGGATACGTATACGGATATCCGGCACATCACTAATTCAAAATACCGTTCCCTTTATTATAAAAGGTTGAAATATAACAATGATAGTGAGCTATGAATCAAGATTCTAAATTAACGTTTTACGAAATCGCCCATAGTTTGAACAAGAAATTCGAACGATATTTTAATGATTTATCGATTTTGTTATCGTAACGAATGTTAAACAGATCGTCTTGTTCTTTTTTGAATAAACAAGTACAACTTTTACTGCTTAAGGTAGTAAATGCAAATATACGCTACGGGTGCATATATAAATTCATAAATTGTGGATGATACCCTTAAAGCTCGACCGTCACGACCGCAACTTAATGTAATTTGAATATAAATGTCTAGATTCTTTTTCTTAGTTGGAATTGCTTACAGGATACATTCACGAGCGGTTCTTTAAACACTGGTAGTGGATAATTTGTTTTATATAATTTGTGCAAAACCTTGGTGGTTTACGACAAAAGTAAGTGCTACTGTACTGTACGTGAAAATTAAATTGGAATTTTGGAAGTGATTTGCGGTCAGGTACGAAGGTAGATTAAGAAGTCTTTAGAATGAAACAGTAGACCTACTTTTGAGTAGATAAAATCCTCTTTATTTTTCAACGTAATTTTATTTTAGTTCAATGAACTTATTCGTTATGACATTTTTCTTCTCAAAATAAGCGTTCGTTCCAGCTATTACTTCATTTGACCTAAATTTCTTTCCCCGAGTCATTTTTTCATGTTTGGGTATATGAAAAGTCACACAGGGCTAGATGAGACGAATATGGTTGACGGGGAAGTAATTCGTAGCCCAAGTCGTCCAATTTTACAATACTTTACACGATGAATGTGATGGTTCCTTATATTGTGATTTATTTTCTTCAAATGTGATCGCTTTTAGTTAATTTTTTTATTCAAGGTACTCAATACTGATGTGTGATATTCATCTTACATTTTTTTTACACATTTACTTTGATTCTGGAGTGTATTGATGGATCCTTGTTGATGAAGCCACCCTTAAATTCATTTACCCACTTTTTTCCATTTTATCGATGATATCGTTAGATTTAATCCTTTTAATCACTCCAGAATATTCACCTTTTTTCCTGTTTTAAAAATAACTTTATAAAAAGACCCTAACGAAGAAATTTTTTTTTTCAAATGTCATAAATTTAACAACTAACGTTTAAAATAATACACTTCAGAATAAGCAATAAACTTCTCAATCCACCCTCGTAATTTTCATACTGATCCGTATCTCTAGGGAATCAGGGAATCAGGAAATGAAGGATATTTCTTTGCATACAATCTTCTTCTCCAAATGTGAAAATCAAATTGCTGTTGGTTGGATAATAATTCTCAGCGTTGTGAGCGTGAAAAAATATTTTCAAAGATGCCAGAATGAATTATCACAGCAATAAAATTGAAATGAGCAATCTCTTTACTAGCAGTTTAGTTTAATAGATTGCCAGAAAACAAAATTGAATTGGAAGCATAATCTGGAAGGTATGAAAAAAAGTCCTTGCAGCTTCAATTGTCAGTCAATTAATGAAGCATAGTTAAATTTTGAAAGTGCTGGTGGAAATTGTTTTTTATTTGAAACAACGTTTGAGATCTACGACCTAGGTACCTACAGTCTAATATAATCCACCTATTTTCATGTAGTTTGTTTAATAAGTAAAACTTATTAGGTATTAGTTCTTGAAAATTAATATCTTAATTATAGATAATATTCTTCATTATTCACTCTATAAGAGCAGTAAATAATAAGTAAACATAGTATCCGACCTCCGTAAACTCCTTATATTCTTATAATAAACCTTCGAAAAACATACCCACAGGTAAGGAAAAAGCGTCGGCCAAGCAAAGAAAATAAATTTCTTTGTTTCTTTTTATGTTGCACGAGCGAAAATGGTAATGGTATGGAATATATTTTTCAACCACGTCCATGTGCGTCTTTTTTTTTTAAACTAACGGAACTCAAAATCTTTATAAAAAAAACGTAACAGTCCTCGAAAGCTTTAAATTATATCTATTGGACTTTATTATTTTTACGAAAAGATACGAATTTCTTTAAACCATGTTGTATTTTTCAAAAATGGATCTAACCCTTTGATGATCGGATAAAATGTCCCTATGTATATCCTTGTTCTCAATTCGCCTGTATTGTATGTATATGTTAACGGAAATGTGTGTAATCCATCATTCTATACAATTCCTAGGAAATGTATATAATTTTTTTAAATTTTCCGGAAATGTATGGAGTAANCCCTTTGATGATCGGATAAAATGTCCCTATGTATATCCTTGTTCTCAATTCGCCTGTATTGTATGTATATGTTAACGGAAATGTGTGTAATCCATCATTCTATACAATTCCTAGGAAATGTATATAATTTTTTTAAATTTTCCGGAAATGTATGGAGTAAATTATATTAGACATATTTCCTAGAAAGTCTATACATTTCCTAAATAGCAATCGGAAATGTATTACATTCAAGATGTCAATAGGTACGCGGGTTTAGCGGAGCTAGGGGAGGATATTGCGTCATCAGGCGATTTAATTTATTCACAGATAACTCTGATTCTACGTTTACTAACGTGTTTTATTCACAAAAAGCAATAGTTTTATAAATTTCCCAGTACAATATCGGCATTTCATACAATTCCTAGGAAATGTATACATTTCTCATTGCCTTTATTTTCAGAAAAGGAGCGAATTGGATGTAGTGGCTTCAAGGAAAAGTAATCTCCTTGCTTGGGCAGGTTTAGGCTTGATGTCTATACAATTTGGAATATTAGCGCGATTGACTTGGTGGGAATATTCATGGGATATTATGGAACCTGTTACATACTTTGTTACTTATGGAACAGCCATGGCAGCCTATGCCTATTTTGTACTCACGAAACAAGTAAGTGACTATAGTTTTTCAGAACCCCCGAAAACTATTTAATATTTAACATTTTACTAAAAATAAGACGGGCGACTGAATCATTCTAGTTAATAGTAGAAAGAGGAGACTGTGGTAAAATTTTAATTAAAAATTAAAATGAAGACACCCCTAATTACCACAAAAAACTTTATTTGAGCGGACACATGTTTCTTCCACTTCATACGTGGGCATTATCAACGCGAGACTGTCTGTCTCGTTAGGGGTGAGTCTTCCTTTTAATTTTTAATTCTAGTTAATATGTAGGTCTGCTTTCTTTACGTATTACGATGTGCCCTAAAGTTCATCTTATATCCTGAATAGTGATGTCCGGATTGTTGAAAAAATATATTCGTGGATACGGATACTGATACAGACTATTAGTGTCTAAGTCCGATGATAAGGATAATACGGACCTTAATTTTCGTACTTCGTTTGTTTCTCGCATTCGCCGCATGCACGTGGCTTTGGATCAATATTCGAGGAACGTCCTGTTTTATCCGCGGATACGGATACGTATACGGATATCCGGCACATCACTAATTCAAAATACCGTTCCCTTTATTATAAAAGGTTGAAATATAACAATGATAGTGAGCTATGAATCAAGATTCTAAATTAACGTTTTACGAAATCGCCCATAGTTTGAACAAGAAATTTGAATGATATTTTAATGATTTATCGATTTTGTTATCGTAACGAATGTTAAACAGACCGTCTTGTTTTTCTTTGAATAAGCAAGTACAACTTTTACTGCTTAAGGTAGTAAATGCAAATATACGCTACGGGTGCATATATAAATTCATAAATTGTGGATGATACCCTTACAGCTCGACCGTCACGACCGCAACTTAATATAATTTGAATATAAATGTCTAGATTCCTTTTCTTAGTTGGAATTGCTTACACGATACATTCACGAGCGGTTCTTTAAACACTGGTAGTGGATAATATGTTTTATATAATTTGTGCAAAACCTTGGTGGTTTACGACAAAAGTAAGTGCTACTGTACTGTACGTGAAAATTAAATTGGAATTTTGGAAGTGATTTGCGGTCAGGTACGAAGGTAGATTAAGAAGTCTTTAGAATGAAACAGTAGACCTACTTTTGAGTAGATAAAATCCTCTTTATTTTTCAACGTAATTTTATTTTAGTTCAATGAACTTATTCGTTATGACATTTTTCTTCTCAAAATAAGCGTTCGTTCCAGCTATTACTTCATTTGACCTAAATTTCTTTCCCCGAGTCATTTTTTCATGTTTGGGTATATGAAAAGTCACACAGGGCTAGATGAGACGAATATGGTTGACGGGGAAGTAATTCGTAGCCCAAGTCGTCCAATTTTACAATACTTTACACGACGAATGCTTTAAATTGCATCTGTTGGACTTTATTATTTATATGAAAATACGAAAAGATACGAATTTCTTTATACCATGTTGTATTTTTCAAAAATGGATCTAACCCTTTGATGATCGGATAAAATGTCCCTATGTATATCCTTGTTCTCAATTCGCCTGTATTGTATGTATATGTTAACGGAAATGTGTGTAATCCATCATTCTATACAATTCCTAGGAAATGTATATAATTTTTTTAAATTTTCCGGAAATGTATGGAGTAAATTATATTAGACATATTTCCTAGAAAGTCTATACATTTCCTAAATAGCAATCGGAAATGTATTACATTCAAGATGTCAATAGGTACGCGGGTTTAGCGGAGCTAGGGGAGGATATTGCGTCATCAGGCGATTTAATTTATTCACAGATAACTCTGATTCTACGTTTACTAACGTGTTTTATTCACAAAAAGCAATAGTTTTATAAATTTCCCAGTACAATATCGGCATTTCATACAATTCCTAGGAAATGTATACATTTCTCAGGATATGTGTGTATTAAAAAATCTTTGAAACAATATTTTATACATTTTACATGCGTGAGATTTTTAAATACAGTCAAAGGTACTTACCACTTATCCTATCTACAATGTCGACATATCTGTCTAAAGCTAATCTAACCAAACTAGCCATTTCCTGAAACAAATAATAAAATAATTTTAATAAATGTTCTTGTCGCTTTTGAATGAAATATGAGATGTATTAATTAGAGATAGGCTCGGCATCCGGTTTGAATCCGGCACTTTTCGTAGGCTCCGACCAGGTACCGGATAATGACATGGGGTACCAGAAAAAAAGAAAAAGCGAAAAAAANATGTTAACGGAAATGTGTGTAATCCATCATTCTATACAATTCCTAGGAAATGTATATAATTTTTTTAAATTTTCCGGAAATGTATGGAGTAAATTATATTAGACATATTTCCTAGAAAGTCTATACATTTCCTAAATAGCAATCGGAAATGTATTACATTCAAGATGTCAATAGGTACGCGGGTTTAGCGGAGCTAGGGGAGGATATTGCGTCATCAGGCGATTTAATTTATTCACAGATAACTCTGATTCTACGTTTACTAACGTGTTTTATTCACAAAAAGCAATAGTTTTATAAATTTCCCAGTACACTATCGGAATTTCATACAATTCCTAGGAAATGTATACATTTCTCAGGATATGTGTGTATTAAAAATTTTTTAAAAAAATATTTTATAAATTTCGTAAATACTCTCGGAATTGTATAAAATTTCTACATTTCCGGTAACATATATATCAATTTTCTCAACATGTAGCACTACAAAACAGAAGAGCAAACTCCCCACCCCTAAAAACAGGTTACGTGGTTTATGGATGGCATCGTATCTACAATTATAAATAACGAATATCTCATAATACTTGTGATCCTCTCCACTACCCTTGTTACATAACGTCTTCAAGAAGACCGCTTTGAAAAGCTGGTTGTCATTCCGTTTGCGAAGCTATACATTAGAAGATTTAATGTAATTTGCAGGAATACATTTTGCCCGAAGTTCGAGACCGACAACACCTACTTGCTTTACACAAAAAAGCCAAAAAGCAAGGCTTGGATCTCACAAAATACAATCAACTGAAAGATCAAATTACCAAATTGGAACGTGATTTAAGGAAATTGCGGGACCCCTTGCGCATGCATCTACCTGCAAAAACGAAACCAGCAGAACCTCCTCCATCTCCTTTGACAAACGCTACAGCGCCGACAGAACAAAAAGCCGAAACTGTTGAACCTAAAACTGTAGCAAAAGTTTGATTGTAATTTGGTTAGACAGTTTAGCGTGTGAAATTTGAACAAGTGCTTGCCCGAGTGATTTCGTCTTCTCAAGACTTTAGGCTTTGAAATGATATTCATATTTATATTTATTACGGTATAGAAATTTTAGTTTTCGATTTTGAATCGAGAATAATGTACAGGTTATTCAAATTGGGTAGGTGTATGTTTTTACCATTGGGTTTTGGTAATCCGAGGATGATAAAAAGAGAATAAAGAAACCAAAAAAGAAAAATTTCTGAATAAGGAAAAGAAAACCTGAGGCAGAAGAAGTATGTCGATTGTGCTTTTGGATATTGAATGTTTTGTGTGATCTTTTGAATATATGTAAATGTTTGATCAATAAGTTGAAACCTGGTACATTTAATGGAGTAAGGACAAATTGAAAGAAAAACGAAAAGGGTGTGTTTACGAAAATTACAGAAAAAATTAAATCCCAAATGTTCATTTTTGAACGCCACAATCAATAGTTTCGTTCATTTCATGTTATTCTAAAGGTTGTTAAAAATACAGAATTATATTTTAATTTAAGTGTATACGAAACAAAAGACACTGTTATTTTCCATGAAAGTAGCGTCCAGGAGAAGCAGGAAAGTAGAACATTCCGTAGGTCGTACAGTATATACAAGGCATGTTTTTAAAGTTATAGGAATTTAGCTATAATTTTTATTATTTTGTTAATTTTCATCAATATTACAATGTGTTTTTTCAACATAATCTCCATTTAAATGAATACATTTATCCCAACGATAAACTAATTTTTTTAAGCCGTCCTCAAAGAACTTTTTCGGTGCCTCCTCAATCCTCCTATTTATGGCACGTTTTACGTCAGTTAAACTTTCAAATCGAAACCCTGTAAGGGTTTATTCAAATCTGGAAACAGATGACAGTCAAGGTGCAAGATCCGGAGAATAAGATGGGTGTGCAAGTAATTCTCATCGTACATCGTTCAAAAAATCCTTCATTTTTCTTGCGGTATGCGGTCTTACATTATCCTATTGCAATAACGGACCCTTATGCAACTTTTCTGGCCGTTTTTTGACAAGTGCCTGTCGCAGTGATCCAGATATTAAATTCGAACAATATTCTGCTTTAATTGTGGTACCTTTTGCCAGATAATCCGTAACAGTAATCCCTTCGTAATCCCAGAATACACTAAGCATTACCCTTTCAATAAACGTAACTGCAGACGCCCTCACTGGAGTCCGTGCTTCGGGTTTGCACCATTCTTTGGATTGACTTTTGGTCTCAGGATTGAAACAAGGAATCCATGTTTCGTCAGTGGTTATTATTCGTTGCCAAAATTCATCACCGTAACGAGCTAACAGCTCTTGAAGTTGACAAATATCAGACCTATTGATTTTCTGTTCTGGTCCCAACAGCTTTGGCACCCAGCGCCCTGAAACCTTGCTAACGCCCAAACAATCATGCAACATGTCATGAATTTGTCGCGTACCTATCCCCAGGCGCACACTAATTTGACGAATAATCATTCGTCTGTCCTCTTAGTAGGTCTTCGAAGGCAGTAATGTTTTTTTTTTTATTTATCGATGTGCTTGGGCACCCACTGCGTGGATCGTCTTCTAGTGATGTTCTACAGGTTTTAAAACAATCGATATCGATCCATCGATAAACATTACTTTTGGATTCTGCAGGCTCACCAAATAACTCCTTGCAGACGCTGAATAATTTCTAATATCTAATCTAATCTAATATCTTTTCACACCTTTCCACAAAGAGAAAATTATTGCTCTTTGAGATTTCGCTGCGTCTTCCATGGTTACAAAAACAGATATGAAAACGCGTTTATATCACTCAAACATCTAAATCAGACTGAACATTGTTGCACTAGATGTTGCATAAACATGTTAAGATTTGCCTGGCCCCAATAACATTACCTATAAGTTCTGCATAATTTAATTATAGTACAATTCCCAGAACTTTGGAATCATCCCTCGTACATCCACATTGTATTGTATGTACCTTTTCGGTATTCATGATGGGCGTGGATTGCTTGTAAATCCTGCTATCCTTCTGAAATCCTTTGAATTTTTCTCTTCCAAACGTTTTTCATTGTGCCGTCAGTGATGATGTTATCAGTCACAAATCAGTTCCAACCTAGACGTCTTTCTGAAGGAACCATCAGTGAAGAACAGTGAAACGCTTGGAGTAGAAATTTTTCATGGACCAAGTCAAAATAGCTCATAGAAGAAGTTCCACACAATAAAATTAAATGACTGTATGACGAAAATACAGATCTTAAAACAAAAAAAGAAGGAAATTTAAGCGTCTATCGCATTATTATGCAACAAGTTCTCTCAAGTTGAGAAAAACGGAGCAAAACTTCCAGCTTTGAAACTATTACTAATTGCTTAATATATATCTGAGTCTTTCGTACACGCCTTAAGGTACTCTACTTTTCTGCTTTCCTTAGACGAAGTCTCTGGTACACTGTGTTCTTCAACTGACTATTTAAAGATTGTTTCTAGCTTTAGTTCATTAATTTTTACTAACTCAAGCTACTGAGTTGCTTATAGAGAATAACAACCAATAAATTAATTAATATAATTGGAATAGATTTACCCAGACAACCCAAGTTTTTAACCGCTTGCTGCATCAGTCATAATTACTTACAGCCTAACTTTTTGATTTTATTTTCATCAGTACTGAGGGTGTTTTTTGATCAATAACGTAATACTATAAGCTAAAATATTTTGACCAATCTTCGCTGTTGCAAAATTAGTAAGTCCTTACGGTTATGATTGTTCTATCGATTTTAAATATGTGCAATAATATTTTTTAACAAAAATCTAAAGTATATTGGATGAAATTAATTCTCAATCTATGTGTTGGACCAGATTTATTTTTTCTGATCGTTTTTTATTTTTAACCTTTAAAGTGTAATGTAATTTTTCCTGAAGTTCGCCACTAGCTAAAAGAGAATTACCTAATTAATGTTTTCAAGATTGTCATTGTTTGATATCTTCTTTGTATTCCACATTGCCCAAAATCCTCACTCATCCGTCCTTAGCTTACATAAAGGAAGTTTAACTTCTAATTAATTGGCTTCTTAAATTTACACCAATTTTATCATTTAAGTAATAGATCATGATGGATAAATACTCTTTTAATAATCAAGGTATAATTTAATGTTTGATCAACGGATTTTTAGTCGTTTTGCCATAAGGAGGGATTAAACTGATAAGCTGATTTAAAACAGTTTCATTTATTTTAATAGTCTAATTTTACAGTAAATGTATAGTTAAAACTAACAGTCATGTGACGAAATGATCGGTGATGTTATGCGTCAAGTACAAAAAATCGGTTGGTCAAACTGAATATTGAAATCCATATAAATGACTCAACATTTAACAATAAACAAGTAATTTAACCATTGAAATTAATAGATTTCTTTCGGCTTTTTTTTACTGATATCAACAGCGTTTTGTTAAATATTAAGAAAAAAGTAGCACGTCCTTGTATTTGATGATTTAATGATTTTAAGACTCCAATTGTTGTTATACATATAACGTTGGCACCTTTATCAATTTGTCAAAAGTGTTTTAAAGTTCTAGTTTTAATTTTGAAAGGTGATTTAGTTTAAGTACATAAGTGCATGTATATGTGATTCTAAGTTTCCGATTTAAAAAATTAGATATACATATAATTTTTAAATGTGTAGGTGTTTAAAGTAAATAATTAATTAAAATCTTATCCATTGCGGAGCTTAGAAGCACAAATAAAATAAATTTATTTGAATTTGGATTTCAAAGCATTGCTGTGATTAATATTAAAACAATGTGATTTTATCGGTCACAAAATTTTAAATTTGTTATCTATATTGCACTAAAATTACACACAATGTGTATCTATGTATACACACCTAATTAATTATCGTATTATGAATCTATAAAGTTAGTTGTGGACAAAGGCAGAAACGTGATGTGATTTTTAGAAACAACCGTTATTACATTGAAATTTATTTATTTTGGAATGCCACGTATAGTAATTCAAGATTTTTTATTAAATTACTAGCCTAACCCATCAAAAGTAACCCGGCCAGGCACTAGAAGTTCTAACAGCCTAATCTAACCTAACCCAACCTAACCTAACCCATTAAAAATAACCCGACAAGCACTAAAAGTTCTAACAAACTGTTGTAGGTCATGGATAAATTAGCAGTGCTTTTTATTATGAAATTACCTAGCCTAACCCATCAAAAGTAACCCGGCCAGGCACTAGAAGTTCTAACAATATAATCTAACCTAACCCAACCCAACCTAACCTAACCCAATCCAACTTAACCTAACCCATCAAAAATAACTCGATCAGGCACTAGAAGTTCTAAAAAACTGTGGTAGGTCACAGATAAATTAGCAGGGCTAATTTTATTGAATTTTAACTCCATTTTTACCTTTATCCACAACATAGATACTTATACATTTCGTGCACAACTTTTATTTATTATTATTAGAACACTGCTGTATATTATTTTTACACATACATATGTATTTATGCTGTTTGGAAAACTAATAAGTAATATTTTGTCAAATGTAACTCATCATTTATTAATTTTTATTATACAACTTTATAAAATTTCTGCGTAGGTATTTTTTTTTATATGTATCTTGCCTTTGCACATTCACCTGTGATTGCACATTTTAGCATTTGCACGAACCACTACTAAAACAATCATTTTTTAAAATGAATTTTTAAGTTTCCTGAATAACTACGACATACATATTAATAATTATTATTGTTACTGTTTGAATATCGTTGTTAATGTTGCNTTTTGGGTTTCTCCGTTTTCTTTTTATAAAATAATTGTTATGTTTGTATAGTATTATGTACTAAAATTGTAGAGAATCTTATTTATTTTAAAAGGATTGTATCTAATGATACTTAGGTTTTTGAATTATTATGAATTTACATGCCTAGTTCAAGGAAATAATTATCTTACAGTGTTCTGAAAATGTACACTACCGATCATGTTTGAAATTATAACTGGTCTTGTTGGCTAATTATTTAATTATTATCATTGTCATTATCACAGGGTCCGTTTAATAGTTAGACACTTACCTCTTGTGCAACGAGAACATTATGGATTCATATCTATTTACGAAGAGTAATCAAATCAAGGTCTGCCTCTGCTCCTTTTTACTCCTGTTTCTGCTTCTAATATGTGTCGAACTAGTCCTTTTTGTCTCAGAATAAAGTGACCTATCTTTCTATCTCTCGTTTTCCTTATTAACTTTCACAATGCCCTCTATTTTCCTACTCCTTCTAGTACCTCTAAGCTGTTTTATCTACATCCACAATATTTGCGGCATCCGCCTATAATTCCACATCTCAAATGTTTCTAATTTTTTCTTTTCCACCGCACTTGCACAGAGTTATGCTCCATATTAACCGTTCGTGTTTGACTAATTAGAAAAAGTATAGAATAGGATAATTATTCGTACTATAATTTGACAATGAGTTCAATTAAGAATCGAATGGTGTATTTTTCTTGGGTATTTTCAGAACACGCTGTATATATAAAAATTTCTTTTGACATAGGTATGTCCGGTATATGTTACCTATATATT